AGGCCACTAATGCTTTGTGTAAGTCTTTTAGCACTGATAGGCCAGAAAACTCCATCGCTCGACGAACCATACTGGGGCTGGTTTATTTTACGAAATTGAGCAGAATGCACCTTCGTTTTGCTTCCTTCTATCCAATTGCACGAATCTGGCAGCGATTGGCTATTCAGAGATGAAAACATTGTCCCCTCCAGCGACGTACAGAAAATTCACCAGATCTTGATTCCACATTCAAAATAAATGTCACAAAGTAGGTTGAGATGGCACTCTATGTCAGGGTGTTGTCTGGTGTCACCCTGGAGCGACTCAGGGGACCGCAACACCATGCGCACTCACAGAGGCATATGCCGTAACGTCGTCAGTGTTTATTTGACATGACACAGTCTGGCACCGTCAGAAAAAGTACTGATTTGTTGTATTCCTAGAAGGATCATACTTTCTTCTTGCCTCTCTGTCGTGGTGGTTGGAACGGTTGATTCCTTTCTAAAGCTTTAGAGTCTTGCGGTTTTTCAGGCCCTCCGGAATCGCCAGAAGCGCCGCCCGTTGCACATACGTGCTTCCAAAGAGCATCCGAATGTATATACAATGCGCTTACTTAAGAAATAACTTCACGCAACTTCTGGTTAACTTCATATTGCTGAAGGAACCAGGAGGCATTCCGGCGCCCCTGCAATGAGATAGCGTAATTAACCAGGTGCGCTCAAAGCAAGTTTCTGCAGTGTGATTATTGAATAATTCGCCATATTTCCTCATCTTTCATTTTACGTCTGAAAGTATAGATCATAACCGAGCAAGGCAGTTGTGGGCTTAGCGAGCACGTCTGCCAACAGAACTCTGCAGGGTATCTCGATGAACAGCCATTACAACTCGCGAAACTCATTTCGAGACCAACAGTTACACTCTTCCGTCTTTTTTATTGCCTGCTCATACGAGCGCACAGGCACCTAAACACACTTTATGAACAGGGCCAGTTGGGGGAAGAAAGACAAGCACAAAATGAAAGGCTGCTCGCATGGAGATATGCAGGAATGATGTGCGTTGTGGCCCTCCAGTGGCCTCGTGTAGCCCGCTGGTAATGTGTCTTGCAGGTCTCAACCAGTGTCGTTCGTTCGTGTCCTCTTGCAACCGTCGGGACCTGTAACTGCTGTTTGCCGATTGTTTAAAGAATCACATGAATTTTTCGATGACTGTAACGCATTTACAGCCAACCAAAGTCACTCCCTTTATCAGCAGATTCACCATTGCAGAAAACGTTTTTTCTCCCTCCTATATGACGGTCATATGTGTCAATGGCGCACGAAAAAGTCATACACCATGAGGCGCTATTGGGTGCTCTCCTTTGCCCGATTACATAGCGCGTTTCACGGTGTGTGCCATTTTATCTACAGGCAAATATTTCAAAGTAAGCATCAGAGCTTTTCGGGTGAGCAAGAACCTTCAATGTGTCAGCAACGCAATTAACAGCGACGCTCTTCTACTGGGTGTATGCATTGGTTTTCCACGTGATTGAACGGTTTTTCTCGGCGCATTGCTTTCTAAGAAAAGACAGCAGCCACCAAAAAAAATCAAAGAGCAGGCCCCGGATGCTACACTGTCGCGTATTTAACCCATGATGCGTCAAGCCGTGAAGGGGGCTCGTCAGGTGTGGTGAAGAACCCGCCGTTGGTCCTTGAAATTTATTACTAGCTTACAGGGCTATCATTTTCTCCTTCGTCAGACATTTGACGCCCACGTATGCCTCTAGTTTCGCTTGTCCAGTGAACTTTTAGGTATCTGTGGCACTGCATAAGCACAAAAGCGACTGCCACTCCTACGAAGATTACAGCAATATTGAGAAAAAAAGACACAGCAGATTGGCGAAACTTGTTGAAAACAGTCAACATCTTCTGGTGTTTCACATATAATTCACTATGAGGGAGTTCGGCCTCAACCGTAAGAGTAGCTGCACCCCCTGCTTGGGAGAACCCATGTTCTAGAACACCGACAAGGAAGCAGGTGAAGGGTATTAGGAGCCAGTAACCCATCTTGGAAAACGAAACGCGAAGCACGGCAGTGTAGAAAATTTAGTTATTGCCTTTTGATCATGCGTCTCAGTGCATTCTGTATGCTGTTCTTCAGTGAGCGGGGGGGTCGTGTTCCCGCTGTGGTGTGCTGCCGACCAGCTGGAGCGATGTGAAGCTCATGTCCTACCAGCTCCGCGTTCCCGAGGTACTAAAACAGTCAATGCTGCTTCAAGATGAAGTTTCAGTAATCTAGAGATGTAACGCACAGTAAGAAACGTGGACACCTTGGTAGTATGTCAATACCATCGACTTGAGATAGTACGTCTGCATCCACTAGAGCACTATCGACAACCATCACACACACACGCGCAACTTGCTCAGTTGTTTGGCAAGGTATGCCAATTGCTGAATATAGTGCTGTATTAATTATTTTCTTACGTTCATATAAACAATATGGATTGGAGTGCTTATGTTCGATTTGTAAACCCGATTCGTGAACTCTCCTGAGCACTGCGAAGCGTGCAGGAACGTTGGTGACTCGGCGAACGACGCACCGTCACTACACTTGCGGAAAGCAGCGTGAGTCGATTGCATGAGCATTCACAAACTCGAAATTCAGTTTTCGGCTGCCTTTAATTAGCTTTTCCAGCTCAGTGGTTTCAGTTGTCCCCTTGAAACGAGGGCTATAATTTTGACATGCCCTGCCATAGTCCAGTGCTGCCTGGAACACCGTGGTAGGTTTTTTTTTGTCCAGAGAGAGCACTTCCAAGGTACTAATCTGAGACGATGATGAGAATGGCTGAGTGCTAATGGCCCGCACGCTAACATATGTATATATATATGAATATAGTATATATGGGCCAGGTGTAAAGTACCCATACACAACTGCCTGCTCCCTGAAAAGCTGGTTACCTTCCAGTAGACTATTGGAGAATTATGGCACAGTGCGCGTTAGCGTCTTCGCAAAACGACAAGTGCCGCGGTGCATGGCATGTGATCTTGGCAGGCTAGCTAAAGTTTTCATGCATATAGGCGCGGAACTCTCATTAAACGCAGGATACATGACCGCTAAAATACTTCATTATGCACATCAGAACTAATACCCAACATTGCATTCCGTACTGGCTGCGTTCAATGCGTGTAGCAGACTCCCTCCGCCCATCGACAACGTGTCATCACATCCAACACCACAACTGGCGACAACATTCAGTCTGAACTTCACACGAAAAAAAAGCGTTGGAAAAAGCATAGGTGCTGTAGACCCGCAGCAAAACAACAGCAACGCCCATCAAAAACAGCATTTATGTCCAACAATGCCAAATAGGCATCCTCAACAGACTCTAAACAATGATGCCCCCCAAGACTATTCTGAGTTAGCAAATCGCCAATCAAATGGCTTCAAGCATTCGCATTCACCTTCACAGGACGCATTATGCAGTTTTTGACAGGACGCGAGTCGATATAATTGCACCCTCCTGGTCCGCTGTTGCAGTGCAAGCAATGAACCAGCAAGCGGCTTGCACATACAGCGTGCGCCGTGACACCGCAGCCTATTCCATTTGCTTCCAAGGAACCCTGCCCGTCCATGAAAAAACGTCAAAGCACAATGGGATTTCGCGTTGCTATGTGCGAGACAAAGAGAAAGGCAAATACCACAATGCTTGCAACTCTGGTGAAGTTCCATCAGTGAATCGGCTGTTTAGCAACACCCTGAACTCTCAAACTATGAACAACACTGCATTTGCATTAAAGCGATTCGACCATGATCTCTAAAACTCCCAGGATAGGTCCCTGCGGAATGACAGAAATAGAAAGGCATACTTGCACAAGCAGAACATCAATGTAATGCGCGAATCTACGGATAGCCTCAAACCAAAATACACGTCATACTCCAAATTATCCAACAAACAATGCACGCAAACAATGCGTTGTGCCAATGCTAACGACGTTTTGATGGCCAGATATTATATGAGCCGCAGCCGCAAAGCTTCCATGCACAAGCACCTACTCTCTGCAAAGCAACTGCATTCTGAGTCGGCCGCTGCGCTGCGCACGCGTTGCAGACCTAACTGTGTCACAGTCGTACCAAGACACTAATTGCGCTCCGCATGCGGTGCAAACGAAATCATGCTGCAGTCATGCTAAATCAACAGAGATCACAAATACTGTGACACGAGGCACGGCGTCCTCGACAGACTGCCTAGAGATTTCTTCCCAAAAGAGTGAACTCCCTGCAGATTAAAACGCATCACTACGATATATATGTCATACTGGGTGGGCTCCATCAGACGCTTGAGAAGGTCCATAGCGACTCTCGTAAGCGCAGGCAACTTTGTGCACATTCAACAACTCGAGTAGCAGAGCTATCCGAACCTAGCTGCCCATCCAAGAGAGCTTCTGGCATATCTGTAGTGCACAGCGCCTACTGCTGCGACTATCCTGCTACCTGCCCCTCGAGCAGAGCCTATGATCGGCACCTAACGTAAGCCCATTTCCTTGAAACAGTAGCTTATATTTATCGAAATACAGTAATTCCTAAGTTCCCAAAATCTGTTGTTGTTCGATTCGCCCCACTCGGGGTGCTCGCCTCCTAGGCCCTGTGGGGAGGAGGCCTGCACTGGTGCCGGCGCTATCGCCAGCCCCAGTCTCCACACAATTTCCGTACATTACACGTATTCATTAGAACTAACAGACATTTTGCCTTACTTTGATCCTAGTAGGAGGGTCCTGTCCTCCTCCAGTGTTGCGGCCCCTTGTAGGTCGCTAGCTAGCTATCATCTCTAGGACACTAGCCAGCCCCATTGTAGTGCCTGTGCACTACAACTTCCCCCCTTGCCGGACTGAAGAGACCTACCCCAAAACGCATTATTTTTGCCTTTCCAATCTCTGTGCTCTTCTAAAGCTAACGCCGTGAGCGCACGCGGTGCGCAGCGCTCCCTCCCCCCTCCTCATTGAAGGGTGCCCGTGCTGCAGGCGGTGGAATGTGACGGACCCATACGTCTACGCCTCGGAAGAACCAATGTTGTTTCGAGCCTGAAGACGTCTTCGTTGGCGGCGGCGCCAAGCGCGAAGCAAAGCCGGGCAGCCTGTAAGGTGGTGAGCTGGCTCCCATGTGGATTGATCTTCGGGGGCCCCGCGCCACTTCACGAGGTACTGGGCTGCATCTCCCGAGCCGCGTTGGTCCATAATACAGTCGATTTCGTATTCCTCTGTGGGATTGCCTGCTGCATCGTGGATAGGAGGCCAGGCGGCGTCGGCTGCCGGGGGAACCAAAGCGGGAGGGCGGGGGCGGTGGGGAACTAGCTGCGGAACGTGGAAAACGTTATGGCATTCATAGGCGGGAGGCAGAGCGAGACGGTAAGCGACAGTTCCTATGCGTTCGATGACTTCGCCCAGTCGCTTAGGTGGATAGTTCTCCGTAGATACACCAAATACGTTAGAGCCGGGCCCACAAGGTTGTCTATATGTGCATTTCCCCACTCGCGCGGTTCCAATCCCATCTGGGTGCACCGGCGCTCGATGCGCAGAAGAAAGGCCTTCATAGTGCTGCCGTCGTCTGGTAGTATGGGAGTCGTTGCGCCGGATTCCACGTTTTCCCCTATAACAGTACTTATCACACTCTTAGCGGACTGGAATTTGTCCCACGTGACGAAGGGACTGTCTCCTGGCATAACATTGGTCATAGGTATCACCTGCGGGGGCGCCTCCTTATGCCCATGCGGCCGCTCTGCCACGGTGGGCTTCAAAGTCGCGTGGCGATGATGGGCTGGCGTCCCGCTCGGCATTTTGTTGCCTCACATTGTAGAAGTCTCCTGCGGTGGGGCCAATAACGCGTCCGTTGCGGAGATGCATCCCTTACCGAGCGAAAATTTCTAGGCATGAGTTATTAAAACATAGTATTTCTACTCCCAAGCCCGGAAAGAACAAAGATTTCATTCCCGGAACGGCCCCCAAATGTAGTGCACAGCGCCTACTGCTGCGACTATCCTGCTACCTGCCCCTCGAGCAGGGCCTATGAATGGCTCCTAACGTTGGCCCATTTCCTTGAAACAATAGCTTATATTTATCGAAATACAGTAATTCTTAGGTTTCCAAAATCTGTTGTTGTTCGACTCGCCCCACTCGGGGTGCTCGCCTCCTAGGCCCTGTGGGGAGGAGGCCTGCACTGGTGCCGGCGCTATCGCCAGCCCCAGTGTAGTGCACTGCGCCCGCAGCTGCGACTACGTGCTCTCAGTCCCTTGGGCAGGGTCTATAAACTGCTCCCTACGCTAGTCCATTTCCTAGAAACTCCAGCTATATCGATTAAGAATACAAAATCACGAGTTTTATCAAATCTGTCTGTCTGTTTCGCACCCTCCTGGGAGCTCGCCTCCTAGTCCCTAAGGGAGGGAGGCTGACTCTGGCGCCGGCGCTGTCTCCAGCCCCAGAG